GCATGTACAAGTGATCCAAAACACTTTAGCATAATGGGGCCAACTACAAACCAAGAAAGAGGAGAAAAGAAATGAACAATAAACAAAAGACTTGAATCGTTATCTCTTCATCCAAGCACAAACAATGAGTATATTTATTACACCAAACCTTAAAAACTCCGTAATAAAAATACTTCAATCAATCTAGTAAGAAAAGATAGTATCATATCTTGAAGCCCAAAGTAAAATCAAGTATATGATTTAACCCGAATCACTGAACTTGCATAAAATTTCTCTGCCACTCTACACCAACCAATCCTTTTTAGCTTTGAAGTGAGTAATTAAATATTACAAGTTAGAAAGGATCAACATTTTTGAGTGGGTTCTTGTACAATTTTATTAAATCATTTGCAGATCCCAAAACAAATAATTAATCAAATCAGAGTGTAAGGAACAAGATGTGGGGACAAACCTGAGCATGAGTAGGACAACGAGCACAAAATTCAATGAGTGAGGAGATCGACTAGAAGAGCTGAGCCGAGGGGAGATCGAGAGACTCTAAATTCTAGAGATGAATGAGCGAGCAAGATGCTGAACGCGCAAGCGAGAAGGAAGTGAGCGAGATCTGAGAATTGAGAAGTCGAGCAATTGACGAATTAAGCAACTGTGAGATTGATGAACTGAGGCACAAAGCGACCAACTAGCGAGGGCAGTGGGCTTGTAAGACTAACGGAGGCACAAGGCAATCTAGGGAGTGAGGGGCTGAAGGTAAAGCTGATTTGAAATTGTTTGTGAAAAAATGCCGCAGAGGGAGAAGGCAGTTAACGCCCTTTTTTTCCAAAACAAATAAATAGATAGATAAGTGGGTTCAGTTTATGCGGTGTGAGTCACACCCCGACCCTCATTTAGATGAGCCCCTTTTTTCAACCAAAACTGTCATAATTTTGCGGGTTGGCTGGTTGAGCACACATATTATCAGCTCTAGAAATCTCTTTTCTTTTTTCCTCTTGCTTTTACGCCAAAAGTCAGACTCGGTCCTGTGCACTGTTTCATTCATAAACGTGAAGCACGAACTACTTTACATTCTCATATTAAATTGCATATTATTGCGGAAATACTCGGTCGCTTCCACAACTATTTTGTCTTTCCTATCTACTGAACATATAATTGCGATGTTTTCTTGGCAGTTGGATTACTACTTTCGATCTTGGCCCAAAAAACTTTGACTCTTTTTTATTTTTCTCTTCAAATATCATATTAATTCTTTTCTATCATTACAGGAAATTAAAGCCTTAAGAGCCATGGTGAAAGGTTTAACCATCACTCAGGAGAAGTGGCTCCAGGATTTTTCATTGATCTCCTTTGACCATCTCAAGTTATATATAAATTACTTTCTATATGTTTAGCTAAGAAATATTCCTCTGATTGATGTCGTGTTGTTATCTCTTTTATTTACAACTGCAGTTTCTGGTATATGGCATTCTTGTAAAACTTGTCACGTTTTTATCCTTGGGTTGTAAAATACTCTAGCAGGATTTGTCTTCCATCTTTGTTAGATTCACTCATGAATGCATAGGTACGTGTATTATTATTCTCTTTGTCTTTTCCTCCTTCCTTTGCCTCTTTATACTCACAAGCTTCATTGCTATGGCTTTGAATTTTCGACAATGGATTTTCATTTACGTGGTGTAATGAACTGATCTCTTTTTTCGTGACAAGCCTTTGGATGAGAAAAATATATTTCACAGTATTTCCTTCAAACTAGACTTGTGTGATTTATGTTAATTAAGATCTATATGTGATTCCTTTGGATACACGTAAATTAGTACATGTTTTAATTCTATTTTAAAGGTCTAACTTGAGATACAGAAAATTCAAATTACCTTCCAATCATATTTAACTTTTCTACAAGTTTATTTTGAGAAAATTAAAGGTATACTTTTATTTTTGAAATATTCTTTGAGAGTACTCAACACCATAAAATTATTGGTTTGAATAATTTTATCTTTAAAATAATTAAAACGAAGTATTTTTACTCTTGTTATCAAATTTCCAATTAACTATTAGAAAATAATGGTTAGGACTCTAACATTGACCATTAGAGAATTTAACAGTAAAGTAAAAATGTCTAATTTTAATTACGTTAATGATAAAATTACTTCAACCAATAGTTTAAAATGTTAGATGCTTTTTTAAAAAAATATTTTAAAGGCAAAAATATACCTTTACCTTTTTACAAACTATAGTTGCCTTTTGGCCAAACCCTAATTTTCTTAATACAATCTAAAATTGGATTGCAAATTAAACTTTAGTTTTGCAGATTTCCATGTGCTTCAACTTGCAAAATGGATTTCCAAACACATCCTAGAGTGATGTAATAGCTTGAGGCAATTAACATAGACATCTCAAGGAACTAAGTAGAAGTTGTCTGCATAACAAAAGCAATACAAGCACGCTGATGGAGGTGCCGTGGAAGCAGTAATTGTGATTAAAACTAAGCACACTCAAAATGATGTAGCAAGTAAGGAGAGCACCGACGTATAGATGGCCATCCTTTTTTTGCCTTTCCTCTAAAAAAAAATAATGGAGATTTAACACAAAATATCATTTGTGATTTTTGGTCAGCAGAAGAAAATCCAGAAAAAAAGGGGCTTTGAAGTTTGAATCTGTTTTGAGTTTGGAAGACCACAGTTTTTTATTGATTAAATCTCATGCACTCTCAATACAAATTAAACGACTTGTGCTTGTCCTGTTTTACATTTAAAAAAAGAAAAAGAACAAAAGGAAAAATATTGAAAAGCATGTTGAGGGAACATTATAGCAACATGACTTTGATTTTTTTTTTCCATAATTCTGCCTCCCCCATTTTTCTCCTTAAAAATATATGGTGTATACAGTGATGAATGATCAACCACTACTTTAGTTCATAATTAATAGCATTCTCTTTCATATATTTCTGGTTTCTCAAGAGAAAAATATAACAGAAAAAAATAGAGAGAAAATTGTAGCCACATTTTTTGTTAATTAGTGAGATTCGAAACTTGAAAAGATCCAAGAGGGAGATAGGAGGAAAAATCCAAAGAGAGAAACAGGCAATGTGCATTAGGAGATCTCACGAAGGTGGTACTGTTTACAGAAGATCACAAACAGTTTGCAGATTCGAATGCAGTGGTCCATATTAAAACATGAAGCTCCTTTCCTCTTTGCCACACATTTTGTTTCTTCGGAACCACACTGATCAGCTCCATAACCTGACGCTCAACGTTAAAATTGCTAGGAGTGTTTTTCTTTCCCTTCATTTTCAAGTGGAGTGATTCACACCTATTCTTTACTGACGTAAGAGATAGAATTCACAGTCTCTTTCTTGTAGGAGAGTGCGGATATTATTAAATTAAGAGGCTCTTGACACTAACTGTACTTATAAATATACATCATGAGAAATTAATTTCATGCATGAAAAATTCTACAATATACATTGAGCGTCAAAAGAATCAATTTTTGAAGTATCAGCTGTAATTTAAATTACTTTAATTTAATTTACTCAGTAAATTATGTTGACATTGGCTATTTAAATAATTATAATGTACTGATGAAGAAAATCAACAAAGTACGTATAGTTGAAAGCCATCAAATCAATCTCAAATTAAGTAGATGGTCAAATTAAGTCGAGGCACTTCATTATCAGCATTAAATTGCATTCTCATATTGGCCATACAGCTAAACACTCACATAATTATGTTTGGTATGCTAAAAATGAATGCTGGATAGGCATATTAGTGGCTGTCAGCAGGCTACATAATGTCAATTAATATATTTTATACATAAAACTTAAATTCTTGGCCAAGAAAATATGTAACTTAAATTGAACTTAATTTTGAGTAACTAATCACGAAAATATTGTAATTTTGAATAATTACTGTTCGAGGTGAGCATATTCAATATATGGTACAGTACACTGAAGAAAATGACAAAATAAGCGTCTGTTGGGCAAACAAGAAAAAAGAAAAAAGAAAAAAAAGAATCACCTGATCCCAAAGCAGAAAATGATCTGACCCACATTTCAGCTTCCCATATTGATATCGGATACACAGGCAAGAAAGTGTTCACCTTCATCCATGCATTCATCTCGTTTAGTTTAATTAACTAATGATTAGTTGTTAATCAGAATCGACTTTGTCTGATAAAGAATAGTTTATATTATTTGAGTTCAATTGCACACTCTTTGCCATCTTCCACTGACTTTCTTGAATATATTATATTATTAGATTAGATTAGATTCGACTCCGATGCTTTGTTTAGCTAAACTCGATGTTTTTATGCCTGTTTGGATTGACAAAAAATAATTATTTGGGGCCAACTAATCCATTCTTCTAACAATTACCCAAACAGCTAAAAAATCTTATAATTGATATTGTTGAGCCATAATCATATTTTAAAATAAGTTTTAAAAAATTATTTATAAATTCAATTTTTCTGTTAAATAATATATTTTATTTTTTAAATAAAATTTATCAAATTTAATAATATTGAATATAACTTTATCAATAATTTTATTTTTAAAAGTAATATCTTTTACGTTAATTTATATAGGTAAAATTAATTTTAATTTAAATAAATTATGCTATAACATAATTATAGTTAATTAATACTTTAACTGAAATTCAAACAAGCCTTGATAGTTTATTGCTTCACCTTTGTCGACGATTTTTATTTTCCTCTTTGGGAAAGAGGCGTCGCTTCCAGACACCATCTTTTAGTAATTACAGTGGAGGTTATTTAATTATTTAAATTTTCATTACATGGCCCACTGATTATTAAAATTTACTCAACTGGCCACTCATCCGCGGCGTCCTAGAGGCCATGGTGGCGCCACGTCGCTTGTCTGGAATAAAGCGCGAGGATAAGAAGTGCTCGAGGCTTAAAAAAATATAGTGAATGCAATAAAGAAATGATAAAAAGGGGAATCCCCTGTCAAAATTCCTTTTTTAATTCGCAAAACGGTTTCTGAAGATTTTTGTATTGTTTGTCTGCTTTTTCCTTTTTCTTTTCTATTTTCTTTTCATCTGAAATGTGAGGAATTTATGAGGCTGTAGAGCTTCATTGTGGCTGTGTATCAAGAAAAAAAAAAAGTTTTGTGCGGTTCCGTTCTCTGGCTTGCCTAGCAGAAATAGGAGATCCTCCTGTGGTGGCTCTGGTATCCTCTCTTTTTCTCTCCACCGGTTTATGTGAACATCTCTCTTGGAGTCTTTTTGATTTCTTAATGCCCTGATGGATGGTGCATGGTGTTCTGATGAATTTTTGAGAAATTGTAGTTCTTTTCGAGACCCTGTCTGCTCTACCTTGTTCCGGAGTTTTCTGTTCATCAACTGGCGAATCTGTGATAAATATAGTTTTCTCTGTCGAGTTTTCTGAGTGTTCTAATTTGTTCTCATTACTTAGTAATCGCGCTTTTGAAATTGCATTCTGAATAGTTTATGAATTATATTGGTGCTTGGCAGGAACTTGTCATTACGTAGATTCTTCGCCGGCGGAGAAGTTGATCTTGAATTTGGGATCTCTGTTTTATTTCGGGAACCATCGAAATGAGTTTCTGAGCCATGATGTTGACGGTCGAGGTGCGAGAGTGCAGTAAAAGTTGGAGAACTTCTCCGAATGTTGGTTGCGAATTTCGTGGCTTTCATGCAACTCAAAATCAAAAGTAAATAAAAAATGGAGGGTTCTTCAGGGTCTGGTTGGCAGAAGTCTGACAGTTCTAGGGCATTAAACACTTCTGGAGTCTCAGACAGGAACCTGAGGCTTCTTTGTCCTGAAAAAAACACCATTTCTGGTGAGGCGTCACAGGATTCAGGTTTTAGAAAAGAAAGAGACCGAATAGGGTTGGCCAGGGTTGCGAAGATGTGTCAGTTAATCTTTTGTTCCCTCTATAGAATGGGGTGATATTAGCTTGAGACAATGGTTAGACAAACCCGACCGGTCTGTGGATGTATATGAATGTTTGCACATTTTTAGGCAAATTGTAGAAATTGTTAATATCGCGCATTCTCAAGGAATTGTTGTTCATAACGTGAGGCCCTCCTGCTTTGTCATGTCGTCTTTCAACCATGTCTCCTTCATCGAGTCAGCATCCTGTTCTGATTCTGGCTCAGATTCTGTAGAAGATGGATTAAACAGCAAAGCGGATGAGATTAAAACACAAACACCTCTCCTTCCTCATGGTGTGCATCAGACAAGAAGTTTAGGGAGTGAAGATAATGTGCCTGTCAGGACTTCAATATCTGCTTTGTCAGAGTCTAGTTGCATGCTGTCCAGTGCAGTATATGCAGCCCGCGCATCTTTAATTGAAGATACTGAAGAAAATAAAACCAGAGACAGGAGAAAAGGTGAAGAAGTAGAAGGAAAGAAGGAATCTTTTCCAATGAAACAAATACTATTAATGGAGACAAGTTGGTACACTAGTCCTGAAGAGGTAGCTGATGCTCCAAGTACGTGTGCTTCTGACATCTACCGATTGGGGGTTCTCCTATTTGAGGTTCATTAAGAAAATTGTACAACTCTTATTTTAGTTATTATATTTTAATTCCACGCATTGACTGACTTTATGTTGTCTCTATGTTATTAATTTAGCTGAAAGATCCTATATAGCTAGTTCTGTATTTGCTAACACATGGCTACTCTGCATTGACCAGCTATTCTGTCCACTCAGCTCAAGAGAAGAAAAGAGCAGAACCATGTCTAGCCTTAGACATAGAGTTCTTCCTCCAATGTTGCTTTTGAAGTGGCCTAAAGAAGCTTCATTTTGTTTGTGGTTACTACATCCTGAGCCTAGCTGTCGTCCGACGCTAGGGTAATTTCTCTTCATCACTTAGCTCTTGGTCTATGGTATCAAAAATTTTGATTAGGTCCTTGTAAGTTGCTTCAACGTTGGAGGTCTTTGATCTGCTGATATTCTGTAATTAGTGTCTGTTCATATCAACAGCCCAAACTAGTAAACTAATAAGATAAAGTCCATATGTCATGTAGTAATTTTTGCACTGATGTTGTTCACTTGAATCAGATTATATTTTGAATAGAGTTTTGTAACACATATACATGTTTATGAAGGGAAGGTGGGCAATAAATTATTTTATGTCTAATATGCTAAAATGAACCACTTTTGGTTCTGTTTGATTGCTTTTGGTGACTAACATGAGAATTTGATAAATGATTTGGCTAAATACAACTTTTAATAGTTTTGTTGAAGCATTAATAGGCCCTTTAATCACCTTTTGTTTAATTGGGAGAATCAGAAGAATCTTGCACCATATGCTACACACACATTTGGTATGTAGAATAATGTGAACGGAAATGGAAGTGGAAAAAGTGATTTTATATATTGAGATGACTCTAATACCCTTATTCTTAAAATGTACTCCCTCCGATCCTATTTGTAGGACACCTTCTAGAAGTAATTTTGTGTCCAAAATGTAGGACACTTTGTAATAATTAAACCACTTTTTCTAATTTTACCCTTTCTTGATTAGCATAAAAGTATTTAATATAATTGTATAATTAGTTAAAGTCAAGGGTAAAAATAAAAGTACATCTCATTTTTTTTAATATAAGAAAAAATTAACTTTTTTTAATGTGTATCAAACGGTTAGAAGTGTGTTACAATAAAAACCTAAGGAAGAATTAGAAACAAATAGGGTTAAGTATCATATAGTTATAATAGACATCGCACATACTTTTCCTATTTCTTCTCCTTTTCCATCAACAAACCCAATGGGTGGTAAGAGTATGTATCTATCATTTGCAATCATTGAAGACAAAGCCGTACAATTTTAGTTATCCTTTGCTTTCCTGTAGATTGTCAATTAAAAAATATCGTTGTATATATCAAATTTCTGCATTTGAATTGCTTCCATAAACCTAGGAATATGGATCCTGACAGATCAAAGTATTGATAGCTTTGCATTATTATTTACCACTAGGTAGGGTTGGCTACATGGATTGTATGATTCTATTTTGCTTTATTATTTAACAAGCTTTTAGGAATATTGTTAACTAAGAGATCTTGGTCAATAACTTTCATAAGTGTTCTCATAGCTTTGCATTAAATGTAAATATATTTTTTTAATAAAGAATAAGATTCATCTCCATTTTTACCAGGGAGTTGTTGCAAAGTGACTTCCTTAATGAGCAGAGAGATCATATGGAAGAACGTGAGGCAGCGATAGAGCTTAGAGAAAGGATTGACGAACAAGAGTTATTACTGGAGTTCCTCTTGTTAGTTCAACAAAGGAAACAAGAAGCGGCTGAAAAGCTGCAACATACTGTTTCTTTTCTTTGTTCCGATATTGAAGAAGTCACCAAGCAGCAGGAGAGATTTAAAGAAGTTGCTGGCTCTGAACTAGGAAGTAATAATCATTCAGCACCAAGTTTCCCATCCATGACTGGCATTAATAGTGAGGATTCTGCTTGTCCGGGTACCAGAAAACGAGTCAGGCCAAGGCTACTTGTTGACAACATTGAGGAATGTGATGATAACATAGGTGATGATCAGAAAAATTATGGAAGTGTTCTTTCGAAAAGTTCCCGGCTAATGAAGAACTTCAAGAAATTAGAGTCAGCATACTTTCTAACACGATGCAGACCATCACACTCATCAGGAAAACCAATGGTTAGACATTCACCTTTAAGTGCCGATGGTAGAGGCTCCTTTGTCATGTCAGAAAGAAGCTGCATCAATAACTTGACATCTAAAGAGCACTGCAGGGACAGTAGAAGTGCTTGGATAAATCCTTTCCTTGAGGGTTTGTGCAAGTATTTATCATTTAGTAAGCTCAAGGTTAAGGCTGACTTGAAGCAAGGAGATCTTTTGCATTCCTCCAATCTAGTATGCTCACTCAGTTTTGATCGTGATGGAGAATTTTTTGCTACTGCTGGAGTCAACAAGAAAATCAAAATTTTTGAATGTGACTCAATCATAAATGAGTGTCGTGATATCCACTATCCAGTAGTGGAGATGGGTAGCAGGTCAAAATTGAGTAGTATATGTTGGAATACTTATATCAAAAGTCAAATTGCTTCAAGTAACTTTGAAGGTGTTGTTCAGGTAGATCAAGGCTTGTGCAAGGTTATCTATGATTTCTTTTTACAATATGGCAACTTATTATTATTATTTTTTTTTGGGGGGTTCAGTTATGGGATGTGACAAGAAGTCAAGTGCTATCTGAAATGAAGGAGCACGAGAAGCGGGCGTGGTCCGTTGATTTCTCATCAGCAGACCCTACAATGCTGGCAAGCGGGAGTGATGATGGTTCTGTTAAGCTATGGAGTATCAATCAGGCAATTCCATTCTTGCACTTGGTGGATGTCAGCTTTGAAACTAAACGTACTGCAGTCATCTATTGCATGTTTAATATAATTAATTCTGGAGGTATGATGAGTTGTTTCTCTCACTTGCGCTGGTACTGCAGGGAGTTAGTATTGGCACCATCAAAACAAAGGCAAATGTGTGCTGTGTTCAGTTTCCTCTGGATTCTGGTCGATTCCTTGCATTTGGTTCAGCAGATCATCAAATATATTACTATGATCTCCGCAGCCTGAAGATGCCTCTCTGTACATTAGTTGGACACAATAAGACCGTGAGCTATATCAAATTTGTAGACACCATGAACCTGGTCTCAGCTTCTACAGACAACACTCTGAAGCTTTGGGATTTGTCAATGTGCACTTCTCGCGTAATAGACACACCAATTCAATCATTTACGGGTCACACAAATGTGAAGGTGAGTTTGTTTATAACAGTAAATTTGTGTATTTAACATAAATTGCATTTAGTGTCAAACATTATTTTAAGTTATGCCTGTTGAAGAATTTGATTTATTATGGTGGCTGTTTTGTTCCGTACTGTTACTAATTAGGTTGGAACTTTCATAAATGAAAAGCAATAAACCAACCTGCATTACGTTCCCCCCCCCCCCCAAAAAAAAAGAGAGAGAGGGAGGGAGGGAAGAGGCAATAACATTGTCAAAAGAACTGGACTAGATGATCAATGCTCACGTAAAAAAAATTTACTGTTGGTGACATGAGTTTTTCTTGCTCCTTAGAAAAATATAACGTTGTAGACAGTGGATAAACTTCTTTCTGAGTGACATGCTTGCAGTACTTGTCTCCCGCAATTCTAATTTCTCCTGAGATAAAAATTGATCCCCCTCCCAAAAAAAAAAAAAAAATTTACAAATATCAACTTCCCAATTTATGAATCCTAAATTTCCAAGAGGCTAGCTAGGATGGAAACATGGTTTTGGTTGTTTAATCATGGTGCAACTATAAGTGGATGTGGTAATTTATAGGCTTTTTGCCTAGGTCTCAATCTACACATATCAATGTTTTCTATGGTCAGGCATTTTAGAGGTTCTTACTATATATTATCCTATATTTGGATCTTTAATAAAAGCTTAACAAGAGTATTATTGAAAATTAGTACGCGCGCACTATAAACATTCTTGTCTGGATATTAAGGAAGAATTGAATACGGGCTTGTATATGGCATTGTGATACTTTATCATTATGGGCCGGATACTTGTCAGCTTATGATTAAATAATCTTGGATTCAAGAGTCTTTGCCCAGGTCATGTAGAGATCCGGTGAGAATAATTTCGATAGAGTACTGACTATTACAGGATAATGGGGAAGTTAGAGAAATATTTGGAATAAATATTATTTTAAATTATTTTAGATATTTTCAATTTAATAATATTATTTTTCTGTAAATGGTCCTCAAGTTTAGGAGTAGCGGGATATGGTACTTGTAGATTTAAGTCAATAATTTTATTTATTTATTATTTATTTTTCAGGTAGTTATTCCCCCATTGTCTTAGTTATGGGTTAATGGGAGTCTGTGTAAGAGTTATTAGTTATTTTTCTATATATGAGTATTGAGGCACATACCATGTAAAAATCATCTGGAATTAAAATTATTTATTTATATTAGCGGAGATTCTCCTCAGCTTTATTAGTCGAATGAGTTTAAGATCCTTCCTCATCTTCTATTGAAGATTTTCCTTCTATTTATTAATTGATGAAGTTAGATTCTAATTTCGTAATTTAATAGAGACTTCTCTTTCCTCATTTCTCTCTACCTATCTTTGATCCTATCAAATTTCACAAACTATTAGGCATTTTGATCTTTTGGAGCAACCTGCGAATTTATTAGATCTTTCTAGGAGGCCCTAAATATTGCAGATAATCCCAGACAAATTTTAGAGTAGGACCAGTCAGTTGCCTGATCATGTCCTTGTGACATCTATTGTTACTTTTTCTGCATAAATGTCTTTTAAGATCTTGTGACTGTTTCTATGATAACAGTCCATGAATTAGCTTATCTTGATCTCTTTCATGAAACCCATATCCTGTTGAAAATCAATTTGCAGACTTGCCTGCAAGGGACCAGAGTTGAGCATCCATATGAAAAACATGCAAAACTGAGCCATGTCTAACTGATTTCCTGAAATTTTTGTATTCTTTTTGACTTGATGGAATAATATATTATCTTGCTGATTCATTTTTCTTTTCTTGCAGAACTTTGTGGGATTGTCAGTAGCTGATGGTTACATTGCTACCGGTTCGGAGACAAATGAGGTATTTTGTATGCCCTTTAGGTGATCTTGGAGAAATTTATGGTACATGTATTTGTAATTGAGTTTCAATCTCACTTTTTTTATTTATTGTATTCTTCATGTTCCAATGAAGATGCATTGCATTGGCTTATGCCTTTCTCATAACCATAGTTAGAAGACGTTATCTGATCTCCTGGCAGCACCTGTGGCTATAACTATGTGCGTTATAGTATGTTTAGGGCCATGGGCATTCATGAAAAATATTATATTTTATTATTTTTAATATGGAGAGGTGTGCTCAATTCAAGAGGGAGAAATATATTTGGCACTCTGATATTAACAAAGAAAAAAAAAACGGAAGTCATGTTCCATCTTCATCTCTTCTCCCAGAAGTTTCAAAATTTCTGTGTCTAATTTAAATATTCGTGGAATAGACTATTGAGAGAGAAAAGAGAGAAAAAGCGGGTGGGGCTGTTGGTGGATAATATATAATGGTTGAGGGGCAAGAAATTTGCTATTTCAAAAGCAGTGACAGGATTTTCTTTTTCTTAGTTAGCTTCATTTACTTCATTTCGCTGTTTCTTTGCTCTGGTCGTGCTGAAATCGTGCTCCCCCCCCCCCTGTCATTTGACATTTTAAAGTAAATCCACCAAGTCGACAGATGCATTTCTTTTACCCTCTTTTCCTTCATTTCTTAGATTTTCTTTCTCATTCTCCTATTTTTTCCCTTCTCGTTTCTTATATTGTGGGAATCAGGTTTTCATTTACCACAAGGCATTTCCCATGCCGGCATTGTCATTCAAGTTCCAGATCACAGACCCACTTTCTGGTCATGAAGTGGATGACACTTCACAGTTCATCTCTTCGGTTTGCTGGCGCGGCCAATCGACCACCTTACTCGCAGCAAATTCCACCGGGAATGTCAAAATTCTGGAGATGGTTTAGTCAACAGTCTTTTGAAATGGCAAATTGTTGGTGTACATCCAATTTCTGAAACAAAGGCTATAGAAGAGGGATATATACAGATTCTGTTATTTACTTTTAAGTTGTAACATAACAAATTTTTGCATAAGATCATAGCGGAAGCAGTCACAGAAGAGTGAGATTGATCTTGTTATAAGATTTCGTGTAGATAAAAATTCTATATTAATGAGAAGAAAAAGTGGAAATATTTAGATTTTAGTATCATCATTACTGCTATTATGACCTGTGTATTTTGACCCCAGCAACGAAATCTTGTGTATATTATACTCCATAGATGGATACATCCACCTTTATTTTGTTTTATATGCGTGTCCTCATTTATGTCTCAGGCGAAAGTTATGCTTCTTCGTGGCTTATTTCATAACGCAGCGAATTAATTGAATTTTCTTTCATAAACTATTAAAGGCCGGTTTGTATAAAAATTTAAAAAAAATATTTATTTGTAAATAATTTAGAGGGTTTTATAAATAAAATTATTTTATAAATGTTTTATAAAAGTCTGATATTGATTTATAATTATTATTTTCATTTTCATGTTCATTTTTAAATTATATGATATTTTTGTGATTCTCTATAAAAAATAATTAAGCAAGGCAAAAGTATCATAAAATTGATTCTGATTAAAAACAATTAAAAATATTTTTATCAAATTCTGAATACTTTTAAAAATTTAAACAAATATTATAAAAATTTTACATAATATATTCTTCTTAAAATAATGAGTAATTTTTTTCATGAAAACTTAAAACAAAGTAACAAACGGGTGATAAATTCATAATTGTAATAATAAAAAATAAATTTAAAGCGTAATTTTTTGAGAGAAGATAGCAATAGTAGGTTGATTTAAACACCAGAAATATTTTTTTTATTTTATTTCACTCTACCTACTAACAACACTGATCATTTTCACCCAAAAAATTGTGACACAAATTGTCTAATTTTGGCGCAATTAATTAATATTTGAAAAAGAAAAAAAAAAAGCAAAAACACTGACATACTGTGGTTTCAAATAGTCAATACAGATTCAGGTATGCTTTTTAACAATAAATCCAACTAAATTGCTCAAATCCTTTTTGGGGGGAAATTGAAAAAAGCTGGCTCATGCTAACTTACTAATAAAATCCAGCTGGCTTAAATCCATATTCTCTAGTGCGATTAAATTTGACAAAGTGGGCAAGTCATTCTATAGCCTCGCATGGTTATTATTATGGATATTAAAAAAAACCAGATAATTCTGATTCTGAATAATGCTATCTAATATAGTAACAAGATACGTGAATAATTTGTAAGAGAATTCAATCCCCCCTGTATCCCAAAAAAAAAAAAAATGAGACTGAAATGCCTAAAGAATGGGGTTACAGTCGCAAGTTGCCGCTCCAACATCAGGGTGATCCACTGGAACGACAGTAGGCCATGACACGAGTAATAACATCAGAATCACCATCTCTGCGCTTTTCCTTCCATCAGTGGAATCCTATTTACACCGATTCTGACCAACTCTAGTCCTCAATACCAGCCTCCCTACTAGGCTTCTAAGCCTCAAAGCTCCAGGACCAGGTTTGATTTCGTTAAGGTTCCCAACCTCGGAACATGCAGGCTTCCCAGAACACCAACCACCAGGTGTGAACATTCCTGCTTCCCTGTGCAGCAATTCCTTATCAATCAAATCCAACACAACGTCGTCTTGCTTAAACTTCCTCGCAAAAGGAGCATTACTTGCTATCATGCTTCTTGTATCGTTAATGTTAAGGACGTGGGGGTGTTGCTTTGGGGGTTTGTCCCATGAAATATAGTGCAAGTCACTGTTCACTGCGGTTTCGGCCATTTCAGGGACGTTGCAGATCACTGTCTGAAAGTAGCCTTCTGGGGAAGACACAAAGTTTGTGTAGTACATTAGAAGTGTTCTTGGCAGGTTGTCCCAACCCAACACAACGTATTCCACAAATGAACGTGACAGAACCATCCATGCTGATCCTACAGTTTAGTTAATTTGATTCGGTCAAACAGATCTTGTGAACCAGTTAACAGATTGAGAATCACTCATGATGACATTAATAAAGTATGGTTCGATCTGTAGTTACAAAATAAGGAAATCACTTTTTAGTTTTGGCCAGAACCAGATACGTGTTATCATTTCATCCTTGACATGTTTATATGTTTAGACATGACAAACTCGATTAAACTGACCAAAATAGAAATTTGTAGGCAAAAATACACACATACACGCACACAGAGTGAGACACACCCATCCCCCCTATATATAGATAGAAGCATGTTAGACAAATTTTCAGTGAGATCCATATCTATGTGCTTGGGACACCAATAGAAGACCTAGTAGAGTGCATCTAAGAGACTGCTGCCATGCAACACAGAAACGGAAGGACATTATTACAAGAAAAATAGGACGCTTTCAAGAATCTAAACGTGTTTGAGTGGATAGTGGATACTATGGAACTTCAAGGAGGCTGGAAAGGATTACGCCAAGAAGGTGCATGGAATGCTCTTTTTGTTTATGTTTGCTGGGATATTTGAGCAGTAAAGGGTTAAAAAATGTTCTTAATTGAAGATGACAACAGAAATGACAGTGTCAGACTGTTTGTGCTAGTTTTCATAGAGCTAGTACAGAACTACAGATATGACCGTTGCTGAGAGGCTGAGGGCTCATTGACGCTAAGAGATCCTGATAGGAAAAATCTTGGTCGATGGTGTCCACCAAGCAGGGGAGAATATAGACAAGACATTGATGGTTCAGTAAGTGGGGACGGACTGACTATTTGTGGCAGTGTGGCGAGGGACAGTGAACTTTCGGCAGTAATAAGGGGCATGTTGGGAAAAAGGACTAAAGAAGGTCCATGTTTTCACTCATTATGCAGAAGCTTTCGACTTGGTTACAAGACATTAGAAAGCAGATCTTCCTTATCAAGATATTATTGATTGAAAAAGCTGAGATGCTTTGGACTAGGAATTGGAATATTTTGATTAACTTTATGCATAAGAGGCTAATAGATGTGCTCATATTTCGGATAGGATAGCACATAATAACGTAGATGATTAATGCACCTTTGACCATCCACCACCTTGTTGTAACGAGATGGTGGATGATGAAAAAAAGACCTAGTAAAGTTTCATCTGCTTATACAAAGGACACTTCCACGAGTTATTTGACGTATAGAGAACAGGGGAAGTAACATAAAAGAAGGTAGCATCTGCAGAATCCAGTAGTTTAGTTCTGTTAGACGTGCCTTCCAAATTGGCATATGTTGAAAATCAAGTAACCCAAAGATCAATCAATACAGTGACAAGCACAATGAAGTGTTGAAGGGAAAAGCTAACCAGTGAATAGTTTAAATGCAGTAGGCAAAGGTCTTCCAGGATTAACCCAAAATATATCAGACTTGCTTGCCATGTAAAGCCCTGGGTCTATCATTAAAGGCTTTGCTCTTTTGTCACTGCAAATCATTGTTCGATCATCAGTATAAACAACAAATCAAAACTTGTCTGTTTCAGGGGAAGAAGCAACACAGGACGACAGAACTTACAACTTCCATCCCAACTGACTTGTGTGCTCAATGAAGTTAAGGTTTCTATCTAAACTCCAAAATGTGTGCAGAAGATCTGAACAACTTGAAACAAAAGGGTTAGAAACAGAACAAAAAGACGAAACAGAAAATTCGAAAGTAAATACGCAACTTGATCCGATGGAGATACTAATTCACAAAGAAGAATAAATCTAAAAGCTATAATCATTCAAGGTGAATGGCACAAGATGAGAAGCTAACCATCTTGAGTCACAAGAGGATAGTCTGAAGCACTGAGATTAATAAACCAATCCCAATCTTTATTTCGCTTAAGGTGAATGGCACAGGCGTGAAGGGTGTTAGATACCATGGTTGGTCCTCTATAAGTGACCATATTAGCCTTTTTTATCATAAAAACATTTTCAATTTCAGCAAACAGAGGCTGCTTCTCAATTCTGGAAGCAAGCTCCAACCTTTCCTCCAATGGTGATTCAAGATCGAGATGAACAACATAGTGGTTCCGAGGGTGGTAGAGGGCAAAAAGAGTCCTCCAAAGATTCTCCAAATCACCCTTTGACCCAGAAATCAAATAGGCAAAACGAGGAATCGCAGGTCCAGAAGGAAATGGAGGAGGAGAAATCTTAGTCTCCACAAAAACTGAAGATGCTGTCTGGTTTGTGGTCGTATGAGATGGGAGGAAGAAGACTGAATTGATTGAGCTTATTGAAGAGACGATGCCGCTTTTAGAAGAAGCAGCTAGAAGGTATATGAATATTGCGGAGCTCAAGAAGAGAGGAAATAGCCATTTGTTCTCCATGCCCATTAATGAGAATTCTCATTCCTCACTCACCTCCAAATAATCCATGAATCGCTGAAACGAAGTTTGTGCCTTTGAATAGTCTCTGTTGAATCAAAGTCAAACTCAAATATTAGATTCAACATGTAATTCATGGTCCAACTAGAAAAATGACAGGCAGCGACGTCGGAAATCAAGACGTGCCTAACAACTCGAATTTCCACAAATCAAGACGAGTCTCGAGCATAAAATACTACCGTCAAATATGAAAGAGGAATAAACCAACAGTAAATTAATTAAATAATTCCTAAATTCTTCAGTCTAGCAGAAATGCCATCAATGTTCGCAGCAGATTTCGTGGGTTTCAGCCTAAATACTGGATTCCAGAGTTCGAAGTCTAACACTATTTCCAATTTCCACCATCTTCTGAGGGAGGGAGGGAGGGAGGGAGAAAGAGATGCTGGTGAGCCCAGGAAAAAGGATCATCAAGAGAAACAGAACAATACCCATGTCAAAATTTTCAATTTTTTTTTATGACCCATCTGATAGGCAAACAGAAACACAGAAACAGAAGCTGAAAGATGCAATAAATAGTCGATAAAACACAGAGCAAACCAGTTTCTGATGCAGACCAAAGTTGCAGCCGACCGGGTTTAGGAACAAGGACGATAATTATAATTATAAATATCAGAGAAAAGCTCGATTCAGAGACATAGACTAGCGGAAAGGGACAAAAGGGGAATCTTCATCACAAGAACACAAAAAGAACGTTTATAGGTGCAAGAGGAAAGTGTTTCAGTTTGTTAGAGAAAGTCTGCAACGATAGCATGAGTTCTTAAAGGTGCTTCTGTTACAGAAGAAACAGCAGGGAAGACGGGAACTATATATAAGATTATAAGCAAATATTAACGGGTATCCTTAACCGACAAAATTTGTTGTGTTGCAGTGTTTTTCTTGTGTTCGGTTTCTATGTGCAATGGTGTTAGATACAGCCATAATCCGATATCAGAATAGGATCGCTTTATGTCAGGTTAAATCAATGAATAGCAGGCGTCGAAGTGTCAAGCAAGTTGTCGCATATATACATACACTTTACAGGCACTTGTAAGTTTCCCAGCCGGTATATCACCTAAATGAAAATAAATACATGTAAACGATAGACTATTCAATTCAAAAAAATTAGATAGAGATTGTTAAATAATTAATATTAAAAATTTTAAAATTTATTCTCATTAAATATATTATTTTTAAAACATTTTCTATTCCATATATGCATCTTCTTTCCCCTTAAAAAATTGTGAATGACTAAAGTTGAAAAGAATAATTAATAGCCTATTTTTTTATGCAGAGTAATTTTTTAAAAAATAACTAATATTTTAAAAAGTGAATTATATATAGCACTCCCAGAATGTATAGTTATAATTATAGTTGTTAAACTCATAACAAAAATATAAACTCATATAGTAAATTCAGATTGTAAATTAGTAAGAATTTATTTCTATTAATAAATAGCCATTAAAATATAATTATAATTTAATTTAATTATATTAAAAATAAAAATAATTAAAATTAAACTCATCTACATTGATAAATTATCATATACAAGACATGAAAATTTTAAAAGAGAAAAAATTATTTTTAATTTTTTTTTTTATTAATATTATTTTTTGCATTTTAAGTTTTTTTTTTCTTTATAAATTAAATTTTTTTATAGTATATGCATAACTTACTCAACTAAAAAAAATGACAAGCTTAACAAGTTAAATTAAGTTTGCATCTAGTCTGAATTTATGAATTAATTAATATGATTTTATAAGTTAAAAATACAAAAACAACAGTTCAACTAAATTTGTATCTAGTTCAAACTTATGAGTAAGTTGACACGATTTTATAAGTTAGAAACGTAAAAACATTAAATTTATCGCTTATAAAAAAAAATTTAAGAATAAATTAGCATCAAATAAGTAATTAAAGTCTTACTTGTCACCGTGTATGGGATCAACGAACATGTCAGATCATTATATAATGGCAGAGTTAACGATTCGTTAACGATATTTGCTCCTCGAAAAAATAATTTAAAAATAAAATTATCTCAATTAAAAATATAAGATATTTAGCGCTTTTGAAAAAAAGTATAAGAATAAAGTAAGACCTTAACTCTAAGATTAAAGTGACAGACCCAGAGAGCTTGTATTAAACTGAAAATTGAGTTTTGCATAACTACAGCATTCACTGTACAAGCTAGCGCGTTCTTCATGAACTTTATGGAGGGGCTAGACTATGTAAATTTACCGAATCGTCGTCGTGGTGGTAAAAAGATTTAGCAAAAATTTGTTCACTGGTTATACAAAAAAGGCAGCCTTAAATATAATAAAAATCCTCAAAATGTTCTGCAGAAAAGGAACGTGCAGTTTGGGTGTCTGCATTTTTTTAATAAAAACGTGCACGATTATGAGCTATGGCGTGAAGATGTTTTAAGACGCGCGCGCGCGTTTTTGTTATAAAAAAAATTAAATATTATTTATTTAATGGGATCTTTTGGTGCATGGGATGTTGCCGAAAGCGTCAATTGCAAGAGTTTGACCTCGTAAGATGAGGTGTGCAAGTTTGAATCTCTGGAAGAAAAAATCACACTAAAGTTTATTTATATGGGAGGAAATATCAAATATGTTTTTCCATTGTACTTATTTTGACTAATTATTAAGACCTATTGATAAAATAAGTTCTTTTACTTTAATATAGTTACATTATTAAGACAATTTTAGACGGGTGGTGATTACATTAAATTTTTTAAGAATATTAAACATAAAAAAAAATCTCACATCTAAATATTAAAAAATAAATTATGAATATATAAGAATATCATGTTAAATTTCATATATTAAGCATGCTTAAAAATAATATACTTCATCAAAATAACTTAAATTATTTAGTTAAATATTTCTTAAGTTTTATGTTCTAATATTCGTTCAACTGCTTTTTTTTTTATTCTTGCTTGAATTTGTATTTTTTTTAGTTTTAAAGGCCTCAAATTTATTTAATTTTTCTCCTCCTCCTCCTCCTCCTATCTTTTTTTAATCTCTTATTCTTTTCATCTTTCATTCTTCCTTTTTTTTTGTCTTTTTTATTTGTCTCCCATTAAATGGCTATGATATTATATTAAATTTTGTATACTAAGTATGCTTAAGGATAATATATTTTACTAAAATAGCTTAAGTTATTTTGTTAGATACTTTTTAAATTTATATATTTATAATATACCTTATAATTTTTAAATATGAGACTTTTTTGTGTTTTAATACAGAATACCAGACGATGAAATGAAAATAAATAAATAGAAGTATGCATGATATTTAATTTTCATGTTTACAACTAATATTTTTATGTTCTCTAGTGAACCAACTTATTTATAATAGATGCAACGTTATATCCTAATTAATCTGGGATTCAATCAAATCAAGCGTCCAAACTACATAAATATAAATAAGGTTATCTAAGCTACAATCATTCATTTGTAACTTCGAGTAATACTCACTCTATTTTGGGTCAATCATCCCGATTATAATTCACACTATTAAATTAACTAACGACTAATAGACTTTTAACGGCAGAGCATTATGGATAGTCTCAAATCGGTTGCCTACTTGCATTGGTGGCACTTCACCTGAATATATATATATATATATATATATCTATTTGTATGTATATAACGAAATGACATTAAAGTTCAAGCATGCATTTTTAATATATTATTATCAAAATTTTAATATAAAAATATTTATTAAATTTTTAAAATACTCATTGCATCATGTTAAATTATAACAACGGCATATTTGTTATGTTTATAAAATAAAAATATATATATACTCGGGTTTCATCATATAGCTTTTTTTCCCTTGGCAACTAATAATGTCATCACATTATTAGGATATCAAGTGTGAGTTGGCTTGATAATGCAATATAAAAAAAGTTCTATATTAAATAAAGTTGTATCAAAAAAGAGGTATATAAATAAAAAAAATTTATAAAATCAATGTCTTAAGCTTTGAAGTTAAAAAGTAGCATCATACCTAGCTATATATGTCTTGTTGAAACCATGAGCTAATCTATCTATATTCTCCCCTCTCTCTAGATGCTTCTCGAGCACAATACACATACCTTCACTTTTTATGTCATAAAATTCTAAAATAAGAAAAAAATGAATAAATGAAGGATGCTAATAATTTTTTCCAAGCTCAAACTCATGTTGTTGAATAGAGGAGAGAATTCTCCCGTCTTCCTTTCTCAACCCCTTTCCCTCATTTTTTTTTTCCTAATTAATTACGCACTCTTTAGGAAATAATTTTTAAAGGAGTTATATATAAGTTGCTTAGTTTTTTTTTTGTTTGTTTCATGTGAAATACAATGTTTAAAAAATATATATTATTTTTAGGAGTGAGCATCGGTTCCAACGGTTCGATTCGATTCTGATTTAAGTGAACCAAAAAAACCGAAATTCATCATTTTATTCAACCGAACCGAATTGAAAGTTTATAAAAACCGAAGTGGAACCGAACCGAAGTTTAGTAGTTCGGTTCGGTTTTTGTATTTCGGTTACTGGGCCTTATTTACAACACTTCGGGCCCAATTTTGCAGCATTTTGGGCCTGTTTTTGGAAGCATTTTGGGCCTTTTTTGACAGCATTTTGGGCTTATTTAAAAAAAATGCTGATCAACAAACAATTTAAAACATTAAAATCTAAAAGGGGGAATTAAGGGATTTTTAAATAGACCTTATAAGGCTGTAAAATCTGGAAATATTAAAAAATAAAATAATCAAATTCAGTCATTCAGATCTACACCTATAAGTTGAAGAAGCAAAGCAAAAAACACATAATTTATAAATTGATAATTTACCTAATATAAATTCTTAACAATCCAAAATAATCCACCAAATAACAACAATAATCCCTTAAAAAATTACAAATAAGTTCAAGAGTTTTAATATAATCTAAAATAACTAATTCATTAGATCATCACAAGTTGTTAACTGTCAATGACACAAAATCTTTGCTCCAGCCTACATTATAAAAGAAAATAGTTAAACATCTGGCCAAAATATTACAAAACTAAAAAAATGAACAAGCTTATTACAAAACTAACCACCAAAAAGACTAGAATAAGACAGCAACAGAACCAACAGTCCACCAGGCACCAAAGTTAGAAAACTACAAAAAGCAACAATAAAACAAATATCACAACTACATGAACCAATTTCCATGGACAGTAATAATGAAGAGTTACCTTAAAGAGTTTAAACTATATCCACTACTGATTCTAATCCAATTCTTTGGAAATCTACAAATAAATCAATTTAGGAGTTAAATTAAATCGTAAACAAATAAATTTTAAAGGTAACATTGCACATACATAACATTATAAAATTTTTATCTCTTTCAATCCTTTGAATATCATCTAATTTCTCTTCCACAACCACAGGAATGGAGTGACGAAGCCAATCTTCAGCACAAATAAGGGCTTGCACAACTTTAGGAGTTAAAGAACTCCTAAATGCATCCAAAACACGTCCTCCAGTGCTGAACGTAGATTCTGAAGCAACTGTGGATATTGGTATTGTCAAAACATCACTTGCCAACCTTGAAAGAATGGGAAATCTAGGACCATTCAATTTCCACCAGCCCAAGATATCAAAGTAAGGTCTATCTATTTCAATTTCCTCATTCAAATATTTATCAACTTCAGTCCTATTACTTTTTCCACCAAGGCGGTCACTTAAAAATTTTCTCTTTTCTGATTCAAGCAACTTTCTAACCTTTATAGCAGGGTCATCCTTATCACCAAAATCAGATTAAATTTCATCCACAAGCTGCTCCTTTTCAGATTGCTTAGAGGGGGAGACATGTTCTTTGTATTCATGATATAAAGCAATGAAAACATCCTTCACTTGCTTTGCCAAATTTTCACCTTCATCATTAAACATTTTACAAAGAGCAAATTGAACCCATTCCAACTTATATCGAGGATCTAGAACAGCA